TTTGACCACCCTGCTCCCCCTGAAGACATCTCTCCTAGTGGTTGAGTTGACTGAAGATGCAATCCTAGTCTATCAAGAGCCTCCTAGTTTTAGCATGTATCTAGCAAGCCATTATGCTAAACTCTAAGTAGGTTTATTTGTTATAGATGCTAGAAATATGTTGCTTTAATCCAGATTTAGGGCGATTCAGCTTCTCTATGCAAGTTACACATATCAAGTACTTCCAAGTGGCCTTTTCAACGCCCTTTGCAGCCCAGTCTGAATATTCAGCTTTTTATTGAAAAAGAAATGGGGGAAAAAAGAGAGAAGGAGAACACAAAAGAACCAAAGATGTGACGATGACACGCCTGGTTCGGGTGAACAGTGCTCTGAGATTTCATTTTTGAGGGGCTGGAGTTAGGTTTTCCCCAGTCAAAAAAGCCAAGTTGGCAGCTGTGAGCCCAGAATAAACCCCACCCTTTATTCCATGCATCATAAAAGCACAACCCCTATGTTTTTTTCTGATTTAATGATTTTTTAAGCATAGCATGGATGTTTTCAAGTTCTCCTTATATTGGGTGAGCAGCTGATAGGTGTCAGATGGCAGCAGTTTAGAAACACAAGGAAGAACTAAAGAAAAACATATAATAACATAAACCTAACATTAATTAAAAACGCAGCAATAAACGCTCATCCAATAACCCCAGGGGACCCATGGCATCGACTCCATCAAACGTGTCCAAAACGGATCAGTTTTAACTACTGTCCAGAATGCTTTGCGGGGGGAGACTTCCATAAAATAGGGGCCATAATGGACAATACTATCTACTGTTTTTAAGCCCCAGTCTCCCTCATGCCTTGAAAAGGGGGAACCCTTAGTAACTTTTGTAGAAAGGATAATCTGAATGGATCAGCTTCACTTGGGGGCAGCAGTCCTGAAAATAACTGGGGGCCAAGCCACTTAAGACTTAATACAGTGTTTCTCAACCTTGGCCACTTTAAGATGTGTGAACCAACTCCCAGAGTTCCCCAGCCAGCCATCTGGCTGGGGAATTCTGGGAACTGAAGTCCACACATCTTAAAGTGGCCAAGGTTGAGAAACACTGATTTAGGCTATACGTGTTCCCCATTCAATAATTCAAGAAGGCACTGAAATCTTGTTAATGTTTAATATGAATATTAAAATATTTATTGTTTTTGACTTTGTGATTACGTGCATTAAAAGGGGGCAGGGATCTGAGCATGTGGTTACGGCTGCCATCTTGACTTTTAATGCGAATATTAAAACGTTTCATATTTAATATGAATATTAAAATGTTCCACGTTTAAAGTGAATATTAAGATTTTGTATTTAATTTGAATATTAAAGCATTCATATTTAATATGAGCATTAAAATGTTTCATATTTCATATGAATATTAAATTATTCATTTTAGAGTCATATTAAGCAGGTAAAACCCTGTTGAAGTTCAGCTGCCATTTGCCATGTAAAATTACCATCATTTAACCAGGAAGCATGCAATGTTAATTATTCATTGTTTTGGAGAGTTCCTTATAGTATTTGCAAATATATATATTTGAGAATAATGGGGCTAAGATCCTGTGGGATTTCCAGATCCAGACGGACAGGAAGGGACTTTCCAATCAACCAGACACTGTGGTAGTAGACAGAAGACAGTGGTGGTGATAGATGTAGTGGTTGTGACACCACATCAGGAAGAAGGAGTATGAGAAA